GGAGCTCGGCACCGTGTGCTGGCGAGCACAGCGCCCGGGACGGGCTGGCGAGGCAGGGCCTGCCTGCTCTGCGCCTCGGCTAGCCCATTCCCACTCATTCGCGCGGGTTTTCCATGCCCTTCTCTTGACAGCTGCTCCTGCCTCCGAGCAGGAGACTCGGGAGACAGCTTAGAGGCTTAGGGAGGAAAATTCTCTAACTTTAGCAAGTTTAGCAAGCTTTAGCTCTTGGGTTGTTAGGGCTGTCCGTGTCCTTGATGCTATCTGTTGGGTGCTTAGAGCTGAGGCTTTCTTTTCATTAGGACCCAGTGATAGGACAAGGAGCAGTGGCACAAGAAGTTCCACCTCAGCGTGAGAAAAAACTTCCTTCCGTTGAGGGTGTTACAGCACTGGACCAGGTGCCCAGGGAGGGTGTGGGGTCTCCCTCTCTGGACACATTGAAAACCCACCTGGATGTGTTCCTGTGTTACCTGCTCTAGGTGACCCTGCCTTAGAGGGTCTTCAGAGGTCTTTTCCAGCCCTAGCAGTTCTGTGATTCAGTGAGGCTGGGTCCTGCTTAGACCACAAGAGTTTGGAGAAGGGAGCTGTAACTCCCCCAGCACTGCAGTGCTCTGGCAGGTGTCTCTGTCAGGTACATCACACCGCTGTGCATGTCATGCCAGGGGTATGGGGAGCACTGAGAATAGCAGAGCCACAGAGCTAGCATGGTGTTGGGAGGAGAGTGCAGTTTGCATTGTGGCTCTTGAAGTTATTGTTCTCTGTGGAGCTGGCAGGTGTATAAAGCTGGGCAGGTTGGTCAGAAACCTTTGGTGGTTCTTGGAGGAAGCACACCCACTCCTCAAGTAAGCGTGCCCAACCTTCCCAGGAATATGCCTCCACTGTGCGGCGAGCAGTCCAGTCCGGGAATGTCAACCTGAAGGACAGGCTCACCATTGAGCTGCATGGTGAGTGAGCAGAGCATCTGAACCGTCTTCTGACTGCCTACAAGTGAAACTGTGCTACTTGCATGTGTTGTCCTGTGAAGTTTCTGCTGCCCAGGGATGTATTGCTCAGTGTGGCTGTTGTGTCCCCCACAGCGGATGGGCGCCACGGGATTGTCCGTGTGGACCGGGTGCCACTGGCAGCCAAGCTGGTGGATCTGCCCTGCATCATTGAGAGCTTAAAAACCATTGACAAGAAAACCTTCTACAAGACAGCAGATATTTGTCAGGTATGGGCTGTCCCTCTCACCTGCCCCAACAGCTTCATTGCTTGCTCCCTTCTCCAGGAAAACCCAGAGGCAAACCCACAGGAAAAACCACCCCAGGAAAAACCACTTTGGCAGTGGGTAACCCAGTGTAATGTGGCCAGTTTCTGTAATATCACAGTGTTAGCAGTTGAAAATTTCACATTCCACTTGGTGTTTAGAAATCTCATTCCTGAAATGTGAAATATGATTGTCCTTGTAACAACTTAACTGCTGCTCTGTCTAACTGAGCTGGGTGTGAAACAGTGTGTTTCTCATACAGTGTGCCTCTGGATCCCTTTAGCTCACAACAGGCAGTCAGTGTTCCTTTGCATCCTCACATCCTCAGTCAGTGCTTCTTTGCATCCTCATGTCCTTGTGTTATGATCAGCCTTGGTGTTTGTGTGGGGATTCCAGATGCTTGTTTGCACTGTGGATGGTGACCTCTACCCACCTTTGGAAGAGCAAACTGTGAGCACTGACCCCAAGGCAAACAAGAAGAAGGACAAGGACAGAGAGAAGAAATTCATATGGAACCATGGCAGTGAGTAGATGTTGTGCCAACCCCCTCCAAACTCCTCCGCCCCAGTATCCCACAGCTGTGCAGGGTGCTCACAGCTGCCAGGTACTGGCTGTGCTGCTGCTCCTTTCCAGGGCTGTCTGTGTTTCTGAAGAGATCTTCTCCCTTCTGACATGCACTTCTCTCACTGGGCCATCTGCTTGACACATGCAATCTGTTTCCTCTGTCACAGTCACTCTTCCCCTGAAAAACGTACGGAAAAGGCGATTTCGGAAGACAGCTAAGAAGAAGGTGAGTTGCTTCTCACGCAGATGCAATACCCAAGAGATAGGAAGGCAGAGACATTAGAGCTGTAACTGTCTATTGGTCCAGAAAACATCTGATTTTTTTTTTAACATTCCTTCACAAGTTTCCTTGCCCAAGATGAGCGTGAAGGGAGGGTAGTAGATTCAGTGCTTATTTGGGTGCTTCCTCCATGTTTTCCAAGATACTCCTGAGGGGAAAGTCCTGTGTGCAGAGTACTGCTGGACCTCATTCCTGTGGCTGCCTTACCATAGCACATCTCTTCCTGCTCATGGAGAAGAAAGGAAGGCAGGCTCACATGGAAATATTCCTTCACTCATTCCTG